GGTCAAAACTTGGCTTATTTTGAAACAAATTGGTATGTAGGTGTATTATATCATAACGACAGTACAGTGACTTGAATTAACAATATTACCGAGTGTTGGGGTCGTTTTGGGGACTCCTGTAACGACAGGCGTCACAATTTTAATTTGTGCTCGATGATTAAATATCCATATTGTGAATACATACTCTCTATGTTTTTTAGTATAGTCTACTAAAATAACGTTTATAGCATGTATTATTGACAAAATTGGATAATGCATTGATTCTTTTTATTAAATAGATGTAGTCATTTTAGACAGTGACGTATACACTTTACACAAAATACACAAACATCTTCGTAGAAATTTATCAGATAGGACGATACTCTGAGCTTACGTACTGTTAGGACTTTTAAAATGAAATCCAAGCTAAATCTCTTTTGAACGGAGAATACGATCACAATAGACAAAACTATCTGAATATTTCGCCTAATCAGCAAATAGTATGCAGTGATTAGAATCATCTTGACTTTTCCATTATCAACTTTCATCAATAACAATTCTCAGAGGTTGCGTGATGAATTCATTACCAGGGGTACATTGTATGTCAGTATGAGAATACTCAAGAAGAAGTTGAGAACAACTTGGGAACAACTTCAGAACGGATTTTCCCATTTCTCGGTATTTCAGAATGTTTCTCCTCAAAAAAGAACGTCTGTTCGTGCAAATTAAAGTGACGTCCTAAACCGGAAATAGCATACACACAAAAGCGATCCGCGTAGGAAAAAAAACCGTCATAAGCAAATCAATATTAAGTTACAAAAAAAAGGGAAAAATAGCAACACCACTTTAAGCGTAAATGTTTATATGGAAAAGAATATGACAAGATTGTTTTTTAAAAAGATATATAGTTTAAGGGTTCATGTTATTCATCCGCGCTAATCTTCTATTTGTTTACGTTTGTCACAGACCGAGGATTTCGTTCGATGACGATTGAGGATAGAAGTCATTTGAATAAAATAGTATTAAGTTGATTTTTTAAAATGGAGAAGTGTATAAGATAGTTAATTTAACATGATAGACAGTTTGTCAGTGCATTGTATACTTACATATTTATAGATTATCACATTGAGTTTTCAGGGTTTATCGATCGATCATTTTCTCATTGGTGGCCTTCCGATTTTGTACTTGTGCACCCAGAGAAAATCGTTCTCATGACAAACCCTGAAAACTGAGTGTGATAATCCAAAAATATCTAAGTATACAATGCACTGTCAACTGTAATACAATCTTATATAACAATTAGCAAAGTGAACAATGCACCGTTTACTGTAAAACAATCTTATCAAACAAAAATCAAAGTGAACAATGCACCCTTTACTGTAATATTATCCTATATAACAAATATCAAAGTGAACAATGCACCCTTTACTGTAATATTATCCTAGATAACAAATATCAAAGTGAACAATGCACCGTTTACTGCAATATTATCCTATATAACAAATATCAAAGTGAACAATGCACCGTTTACTGTAATATTATCCTAGATAACACATATCAAAGTGAGCAATGCACCGTTTACTGTAATATTATCAAATATAACAAATATCAAAGTGAACAATGCACCGTTTAATGTAAAATAATCCTATATAACAAGTATCAAAGTATACAATGCACTGCGTACTGTAATACAATCATATATAACAAATATCAAAGTGAACAATGTACCGTTTACTGTAATATTATCAAATATAACAAATATCAAGGTATACAATACACCGTTTACTGTAATACAATCTTATATAACAAATATCAAAGAATACAATACACTGTCTACTGTATTACAGTAGACAGTGTATTGTCTACTTTGATATTTGTTATATTTAATAATATTACAGTTAACGGTGCATTGCTCACTTTGATATGTGTTATCTAGGATAATATTACAGTAAACGGCGCATTGCTCACTTTGATATTTGTTATATTTGATAATGTTACAATAAACGGTGCATTGCTCACTTTGATATGTGTTATCTAGGATAATATTACAGTAAACGATGCATTGTTCACTTTGATATTTGTTCTATATGATTGTATTACAGTCCGCAGTGCATTGTATACTTTTGATATTTTTTATACAGGATTGTATTACAGTAAACAGTGAATTGTATACTTTGATATTTGTTATCCCCCATTGTATTACAGTAAACAGTGTACTGTATAGTTAGATATTTGTTATATAGGATTATATTACAGTAAACAGTGTATTGTGTACTTTGATATTTGTTTTATAGGACTGTATTACAGTAGACAGTGTATTGTCTACTTTGATATTTGTTATATTTGATAATGTTACAATAAACGGTGCATTGCTCACTTTGATATGTGTTATCTAGGATAATATTACAGTAAACAATGCATTGTTCACTTTGATATTTGTTCTATATGATTGTATTACAGTATGCAGTGCATTGTATACTTTGATATTTGTTATACAGGAAGTTTTTTTTAAAGTACACGGTGCAGTGCATACTTTGAAACTTGTTACATCGGATAATATTACAGTAAACAATGCATTGTTCACTTTGATATTTGTTATCTAGCAGTAAACGGTGCATTGTTCACTTTGATATTTGTTATATACGATTGTATTACAGTAGGCATTGCATTGTAACCTTGAATTTTGTTATATATGATTGTATTACATTAGGCAGTGCATTGTAACCTTCAATTTTGTTATATAGGATTGTAGTACAGTAACCAGTGTATTGTATACTTTGTTATTTGTTATATAGGATTGTAGTACAGTAACCAGTGTATTGTATACTTTGTTATTTGTTATATAGGATTGTATTCCAGTAAACAGTGTATTGTATGCTTTGATATTTGTTTTATAGGACTGTATTACAGTAGAGGGGGTATTGTATACTTTGATATTTGTTTTATAGGACTGTATTACAGTAGACAGTGTATTGTCTACTTTGATATTTGTTATATTTGATAATATTACAATAAACGGTGCATTGCTCACTTTGATATTTGTTATATTTGATAATGTTACAATAAACGGTGCATTGCTCACTTTGATATTTGTTATATTTGATAATATTACAGTAAACGATGCATTGTTCACTTTGATATTTGTTATATAAGCTAATATTACAGTAAACGGTACATTGTTCACTTTAATATTTGTTATATAGGATTGTAGTACAGTAACCAGTGTATTGTATACTTTGATATTTGTTATCCCCCATTGTATTACAGTAAACAGTGGATTGTATACTTTGATATTTGTTTTATAGGACTGTATTACAGTAGACAGTGCATTGTATACTTTTGATATTTGTTACATATGATTGTATTACAGTAAACTGTGCATTGTAACCTTGAATTTTGTTATATAGGATTGTAATACAATCCTATATAACAAATATCAAAGTATACAATACACTGTCTACTGTAATACAGTCCTATAAAACAAATATCAAAGTATACAATACACTGTTTACTGTAATACAATCCTATATAACAAAATTCAAGGTTACAATGCACTGTTTACTGTAATACAATCATATATAACAAATATCAAAAGTATACAATGCACTGCCTACTGTAATACAATACTATATAACAAATATCAAAGTATACAATGCACTGTCTACTGTAATACAATCCTATATAACAAATATCAAAGAATACAATACACTGTCTACTGTAATACAGTCCTATAAAACAAATATCAAAGTATACAATACACTGTTTACTGTAATACAATCCTATATAACAAATATCAAAGTATACAATATATTTCAAAGTTTACTGTCTTGTCGTCATCAATAACAAATAAGTGTAAAACCTTTTATATTGTCTGCTGCATTTAACACGTTGACACACTAACAAATACTGGTTCATAATTTTTATTATGTTCTGTTCAGTTTAGTTCTTTATTTGCTATATCGTTTATATTTCGACGGAAAGTGATAGGCATGTTGTAATGACATTCACTCTACAGCAAAATTTGCAGAGCAGACAGAAGCTTTCGGAAGTCAGTCATTCGACCTTTTAAAATGACGCATACTGGATTTGCTTGTTGAGGAAGACAATTAATTAAGATAGGTTGTTACAAAAAAAATAATTAGATTTATACGATTCTTACAACTTCCTGACAGTATGTATGACAACCTTAGCGTATCGACATCTGTACGTATTTCCTGTGAAGAATTCTGTTGGTGTTTATTTTAATTATAAGATACCGTGATCTTCGTTCGTGATGGTGGTTATATTTGAAATATATTTTGATAAGTCCATTATATATTTGGCATTTATTTATTTAAAAGCAAAATTCCTTTTATTATCCAATTTCGCCAGTAAAACAAATCGGTCCTTTGACGGAGGTGGTGTGCAATATAAGGAAATAAGGGCTTCGATACATTTATGTTCAGTTAGATTTCAAGTTGCAGTTGTAAGAAACATCCCGTTTTCACATGAAGGAAGGACAGGTGACCATAATTTACGCGTTAATTATCAAATAAACAATGCAGTAACAGTCAGTATTTTCCCTGTCGTTTCGCTGAAGCGTTAACACATTTCTTACATATGTTACTACACATGATGAATTCTGTACATTTAATGACACGCACACATCGGGAAGGTACGTGAATTGTGACATGAACATCTATCCCTTGAGGTGTTTAATGGAAAGACATTCCTACATGTGAACGTGTACCGTATGCTACTCTGTTCAGACTAATCATGTATGCGTGTAAAACGAAACAAGGATTTCCAAGTTTGTTTTAACATAGGTGAGATGTGTATATCTATAGACAGGTCTAGTACACAAGCTGATGTTATACTTACTACGGAAACCTATGCTATCCGCCTGCAGTCGATTGAGTAAGTAATATCCAGTGCCATGTATTTCTATCGAGTACTCATATAGCATTGCAATATTGACATAAAGAATTTGCATGATGATTAAAATAATTCTTTGCGTGCATCCAACTTCTCATTGCTTCTAGATGACAACAATGGCCGACTTTCACATTCTGAACGTGGACCCTGTGATGTTGGGAGAGGTAGAGGATGAGAACTTAATGAAAGCAATCGAAGAAAGTCGTCGAGAGCGGTCGACCATGCCGCTGATCAAACAAGAGCTGCGCTATACCATCCAATACAGGCGGCTGTCATCTGGCCAGGGGGAAATGGTGGTAGAGGAAGACACACAACCGGAGTATAAGGTGAGACAACGAGTGTGAGATTAGGAATTACAATTTGAAAATAATGTAACACTTTTAAGAGTTAACACAACAAGGGATAATAGGTAACATACCGAGTATGAATAGGGAAGTTGTAAGATAAACCTTTGAAATTTAATTAACAACCGTATTATGAAGTTAACCCTCAAAGAATATAGCTGGAATGAAAGATGATACAAAGGGGAATACAACTGTAATAACTGAAAAAACCTGAGTTGAAGGAACTGTAAGATAAATCTTAAAGAATACCCCATACTTTAGCGTTGACCCAATGGATGTCATGTAAGCATTAAGACACTAGTTATATATGGGTTCAGATTGTTTATTCGCCCATCCGGTATTGGAGAAGTTGGTCTATTATCGGCTCAGTTTGATCGTTATACTTGTGGCTAATTTTCCTACATCATTATACAATAAACGCTATTATTAGAACGTTACGCTACTGGATTTATATAGTGGGTAAAGTCAAAGAAGCAAATGACCCTTTCGGAACAACTAGTCTTATCTTCCTTGTACTTTCCACTGTAAATAGGTTACCGAAGTATCAGTAGTTTTTAGTTTGAATTTTGCTTTCTCTTGTTTTTGTTGTCAATATGCAAATCCGATTTTGTCCTTGTATGTTGGACATATATATTGCTATACATGGCCACTGCTGTATTGATGATCGCCAATGAGTGTACAACTAGTGAATGACGACGTTACATCAGACTGAATTTCTGATCAAATTGTGTCGTTGTTCCTGGAAATAATATTTATACAAACATCCGTGTCCGCTTCAGCACTATCTCTACATCTAGATAAGACTACGGCAAACAATAGCACTGCACGGTAACGTCAGGAAATCAGGGCTTTCATTAAATATATATATCCGGTTTAAACAGGAACCGATTTGACACGAATATATGGACATATATAATTGTTTCATGTTTTTGGTAGGGAAAGTCAGCTCTAGTGCCTTAATTACTTTTCAGCAAAGGTGGTGTATTTAACAGTTAACTCAATTATAATTAAATTATATTCAATCACTTAAAACGAAGGTCAAATTTTCAGCAAAATTGCTTTGTTGGGGATTATGTCAACATTTAGAATACTTAATGGAATAGATATTTTTGTACTAAAGAATCCTTTTTTTCTTCAACGGAACATATCATCATGGACAAAGTGACAACTTCGAAAATGAGTTGTTTGCTCAAAACTAATAATGACCAGCAGGCATACAAAATGGTTCTACAACCCTTTGGCCATTGGTTTAATTGTCGTCGTTTATTAACCTTCAAGTGCAAGATTTCGTCCATGTTCCCAATAATTTCTTGTCCAAAAACAACAATGCTTTTAAGATTTAAACATAGCCAGTTTGACGCCCCTAGGTATATGACACCATCAAACAGCAAATGCACATGTTTTAAAACGACTGTATGGAAAATAAATACACATCGGACTATTTCATTGCCTGTAACAAATAGCAAAGGCAGATATTTAAATAAGTTAATTTTGTTGCTTGAACCTTACTTAACAAATTAAGCATGCAGCAGGCACATTGGTTCTTGATGATTTTCTTCCAAATGTTGTAAACACTGTATGGCTGTTCTTCCAAATGTTGTAAACACTGTATGGCTGGTCTTCCAAATGTTGTACACACTGGGTAGTTTGTCTGACAAATGTTGTATACACTGTATGGCTAGTCTTCCAAATGTTGTAAACACTGTATGGCTGGTCTTCTTCCAAATGTTGTATACACTGTATGGCTAGTCTTCCAAATGTTGTAAACACTGTATGGCTGGTCTTCCAAATGTTGTAAACACTGTATGGTTGGTCTTCCAAATGTTGTATAAACTGAGTAGTTTGTCTTCCAAATGTTGTATACACTGAGTAGTTTGTCTTCCAAATGTTGTACACACTGGGTAGTTTGTCCGACAAATGTTGTACACACTGGGTAGTTTGTCCGACAAATGTTGTACACACTGGGTAGTTTGTCTGACAAATGTTGTATACACTGGATAATTTGTCTGACAAATGTTGTACACACTGGGTAGTTTGTCCGACAAATGTTGTACACACTGGGTAGTTTGTCTGACAAATGTTGTACACACTGGGTAGTTTGTCTGACAAATGTTGTATACACTGGATAGTTTGTCTGACAAATGTTGTACACACTGGGTAGTTTGTCCGACAAATGTTGTACACACTGGGTAGTTTGTCTGACAAATGTTGTACACACTGGGTAGTTTGTCTGACAAATGTTGTATACACTGGATAGTTTGTCTGACAAATGTTGTACACACTGGGTAGTTTGTCCGACAAATGTTGTACACACTGGGTAGTTTGTCTGACAAATGTTGTATACACTGGATAGTTTGTCTGACAAATGTTGTATACTCTGGTTAGTTTGTCTGACAAATGTTGTATACACTGGATAGTTTGTCCGACAAATGTTGTACACACTGGGTAGTTTGTCTTCCAAATGTTGTACACACTGGGTAGGTTGTCTTCCAAATGTTGTATACTCTGGTTAGTTTGTCTGACAAATGTTGTATACACTGGATAGTTTGTCCGACAAATGTTGTACACACTGGGTAGTTTGTCCGACAAATGTTTTATAAATTGTGTGGTTTGTTTGACAAATGTTTTCATACATTGGGTAGTTTGTCTGGCAAATTTACACTTGATGGTTTACCTGACATTTCATGCACATTGTATATCGTACACAGAATCTTTACATATTTCCACATTAAGAGCATACTGTTCAAAGAATCTCCAAATACCTCACCGCAAAATGTTTATGTTACACAAAATTGTGGATGCGATTTTCTGAGCTCTTTCATAGATGGTCGTGTTTTGTCAGTTCCATTGGGTGTATAATGCTAAAACGATAAGATATGTTTATGTACCCGTGTTTCCTCATTCGACAAAGGTGGGGTTTTTTATCGAGGACACTCACTGCTCACTTGTTGACATACTCAATATCGGTGAAGGCTTATGGGAGAGCATTCCACACGCATGGTTTACTGAAAATAAGACATACATGATTATGGTTCAGTAATACAAGGTTATTGACCAATACAAAGTGTTGTTACATTACCGACGAGGCAGTATCAACACTAACTATTAAAAATGATTAGTGACATAATTCAGAGCTGTAACCATAGACTTCAAGTGAGATAGAAAGGACAGATAATTTCTATTTCTAACAATATCTCAGATAATTAACTAGAATAGTACCGCAATCATCAAATATTATCTCATTAGATTATTGTCTAAACTAATATATGAAAAAGTCATGACATTTCATTCCAAGCTTTAACGAAAACTTTTCATTGTTAGATCAACCAATCTTATGCACATCAAAATGGCAATGGCAATGAAAAAGTGTTTTCTCGTTTATTCCTCTAGCTAACAAATGACGAAGTACGAAAGCGCTATCGTCGACGGGAGCAGAATAGACAATCGTCTGTACGTTGTCGAGGGAAAAGAAAAGAATATGGCAAGACTCTAGAGAAGGTCTGATTTTCCCACTTCACTCACGAAACTGTTCCTGTCAAGTTCCAATGTAAAGGCTTAAGTTTGCTAGAACCAATTTTGTTCAAATATTTATGCTACTAAATTGCATTTTGTAGTACATGTATCACAGCAATTTATTCTGTACGAGCTGATGATCGGATGTATTCATTTGACTGAACTTTACTAGGAACGAAACAATGCCACGTTTTTATAATAGCAACACAACATTGTAAAACATTCCCAGCGACAAACAAACGCTGTCTATCTGAGCATGGTGCTATGAAAGGCATTCGTGAGGTCAAACTGTCAACCTTTTCTCATTCCTAACTTTCATATTGCAAATATCTAAAAATAATCGACAGAGTTATCACTCCTATCATGTAAACCGCCATATCATTGAATTACCTCCATGACAGTTTTGTTTTATGTTTTATATAGACGGTATCTGAGCTGGACATTGAATTACCTCCATGACAGTTTTGTTTTATGTTTTATATAGACGGTATCTGAGCTGATCATTGAATTACCTCCATGACAGTTTTGTTTTATGTTTTATATAGACGGTATCTGAGCTGATCATTGAATTACCTCCATGACAGTTTTGTTTTATGTTTTATATAGACGGTATCTGAGCTGATCATTGAATTACCTCCATGACAGTTTTGTTTTATGTTTTATATAGACGGTATCTGAGCTGATCATTGAATTACCTCCATGACAGTTTTGTTTTATGTTTTATATAGACGGTATCTGAGCTGATCATTGAATTACCTCCATGACAGTTTTGTTTTATGTTTTATATAGACGGTATCTGAGCTGATCATTGAATTACCTCCATGACAGTTTTGTTTTATGTTTTATATAGACGGTATCTGAGCTGATCATTGAATTACCTCCATGACAGTTTTGTTTTATGTTTTATATAGACGGTATCTGAGCTGATCATTGAATTACCTCCATGACAGTTTTGTTTTATGTTTTATATAGACGGTATCTGAGCTGATCATTGAATTACCTCCATGACAGTTTTGTTTTATGTTTTATATAGACGGTATCTGAGCTGATCATTGAATTACCTCCATGACAGTTTTGTTTTATGTTTTATATAGACGGTATCTGAGCTGATCATTGAATTACCTCCATGACAGTTTTGTTTTATGTTTTATATAGACGGTATCTGAGCTGATCATTGAATTACCTCCATGACAGTTTTGTTTTATGTTTTATATAGACGGTATCTGAGCTGATCATTGAATTACCTCCATGACAGTTTTGTTTTATGTTTTATATAGACGGTATCTGAGCTGATCATTGAATTACCTCCATGACAGTTTTGTTTTATGTTTTATATAGACGGTATCTGAGCTGATCATTGAATTACCTCCATGACAGTTTTGTTTTATGTTTTATATAGACGGTATCTGAGCTGATCATTGAATTACCTCCATGACAGTTTTGTTTTATGTTTTATATAGACGGTATCTGAGCTGATCATTGAATTACCTCCATGACAGTTTTGTTTTATGTTTTATATAGACGGTATCTGAGCTGATCATTGAATTACCTCCATGACAGTTTTGTTTTATGTTTTATATAGACGGTATCTGAGCTGATCATTGAATTACCTCCATGACAGTTTTGTTTTATGTTTTATATAGACGGTATCTGAGCTGATCATTGAATTACCTCCATGACAGTTTTGTTTTATGTTTTATATAGACGGTATCTGAGCTGATCATTGAATTACCTCCATGACAGTTTTGTTTTATGTTTTATATAGACGGTATCTGAGCCGATCATTGAATTACCTCCATGACAGTTTTGTTTCATGTTTTATATAGACGGTATCTGAGCTGGACATTGAATTACCTCCATGAAAGTTTTGTTTTATGTTTTATATAGACAGTATCTGAGCCGATCATTGAAATACCTCCATGACAGTTTTGTTTTATGTTTTATATAGACGGTATCTGATCCGCTCATTGAATTACCTCAATGACAGCTTTGTTTCATGTTTTATATAGATGGTATCTGAGCTGGACATTGAATTCCCTCCATGAAAGTTTTGTTTTATTTTTTATATAGACGGTATCTGAGCTGGAAATTGAATTACCTCCATGACAGTTTTGTTTTATGTTTTATATAGACGGTATCTGAGCTGGAGCTGAAGCAGTGTGATTTACAACTGGATATCCAACGCTTAAATCTGGAAAAGAAACACCTTGAGAAGCTCATCAAAAGACATTTAAAACATGGGAAATGCAAATCAAGAACAACAAGACAGACAACTGCTAAACAATTGGAGAAAGGTTCCGGTGACCACGATTCCAAGGTCGAGGTTCAAAATATTGAACAAACACCCACTACCAAGACATCAAACAGACTGATATCCGTCAATAAACACGTGATGAGGAAATGTAGACCTCACAAGTTAAGTAGTAATCAAGTGGGGATGGTTTCCCTGTTAAGTGTGCACTGATCACGTTATCAAACTTTATACAGTGTCGTCATATAAACAGGGTATTATATTGGAACTACAGGCTGTAGGCCCATACAAATAGTCTCAGCGTTACAGGCTGTAGACCTATACAAATAGTCTCAGCGTTACAGGCTGTAGACCTATACAAATAGTCTCAGCGTTACAGCCTCTTAATATTATAAAGGAACAGCGATATTACACGAACGTCAAAACTATAAACGAAACCATTAAAGTTGGAAGAAATTCGGTCGGTCGTGCATCTTTCATTGCCTGTTTTTATCAAAATTAAAACTTGAATATTTCTTCTCATATTTGATGTTAGATCAATTGGGAAATTATGGAAAACTAAATATTCTAGCATATATCAAAAAGGATTGGTTAAATTCATAGAAAATTTTAATCCGTTCTGGAAAGAGCACTTGAAATCTTGAGCAAGTTAATGCAGAATATTGTTTGTCATAACCACTCTGATTCAATCACCGCATAAAAGTAGCTAATGAAACAGTATATATCCAACAATGGCAAGAACATAGTATAAATGAGGTAGCAGACCTATTTGATCATGATGGAAACATTAAGACTTTTCCGTAATTCCTAGATCATTACAATATTCCACAAGCTGAAAGAGTTCAGTTTTGTGGTATTATTTCAGCTTTTCCTGGTAGCTGGAAAAGAATAATTTGAAACCATGGCAGTAATTATACCCTAGAAACAGAAATCTAATAAAAAAATATTCATTACAAAATAATTCACAGAAAATAATGTACCAATACCCAACTTTACAAATTTAGATTTGAGGATAATAAAAAGTGTATGTTTTGTATTTTTGAAGATAAAGAAATTTATCAATTTTTTAGGCAATGTATTCATTTTAACACAATCTGGAGCGCTTTTGAAAATTTGTTCGTACGAGAAATGTAATATAGTTCATCATAAAAGTGACCTGAAAGCCATACTTGGGTACGCTGAGGACATGGAAAGTAATAAAACATTCCTAAATTGTTGTTTTTTAGTAAGAAGATACTACATATATATATGTACAATGTAGATGTAACACAATAATCCACTCAATAAGTTGAAACGTCACAGAAAAATTGAGATATCTTAATATCAATAATACAAACTAAATAAGAACCACTTTGTCACCTAACAATGGCGTCCGTTAGAGCAATTATTTTTGTAATTGTATGTACAGGTACGAAAATACAAAACTGTAAGGAAAAATTGTATACTTTTCATAAATGCTTGTTTGTTGTATACTTAACAGTTTACTGCAAGGGAGATACTTTGACCTATGTTTTCATAAGTTTGTGTGAATTCAAAATGAAATCAAAACTTACATTACAACACAAAAACAAAGGCAAGGTCAACCTATTTGTGTAATAACTATAGCGTCGGCCTATCTAAAGTTCCTGTTTGTTCGTAGCCTTTGTTTACGGTGGAGTCTGTCCCTAGGCACCGCCTTCGTATGACCATAGCTGTTGCGTCTTTCTTCATTTCAGTACGTCCTACGTGAGGAGCAAACAATGTTGTCGTTTATTACTTTATGTGTTATATCATTCAAACTGTGAATCGCTTTATGTTGTTTTTATACGGTTTTAGTGAATTGAAAATACACAATAACAACAAACAAACGCATTTACGTTGTTTTGATGAGTATACAATACTATTCTTATCACTCCGTATTATTCAACCAGAAAGCTTACTTTGCATACAAATACATTTTAGGCCGTTAATGTTGTTGCGTGAAACTTCAAAGTTTGTGTACTGTAACGTAGCGCCTGTGTAATACCGAAAAATGGAGAAAATAATGTGGATTTTAATTCTAAAACTAAACCTTCATGTGTTTCTGAAATTCTACTTTTTCTACATGTTTGTTTAATAGTTCTGGAAGTATTGTATCGGTTTTTCAAATATTCAATTTCAAAGAAAATTTAAATATATTGGTAGAATATGTTTATGCATTTTCAAATGTAGAGTGCTATATAACAAGAATTACATATATAACCCTGTTGTAAACTCTTACATGTAATAGCTGAGTAAAAGACTTGCAATATACTTCAATTATGTGACAATATCCGATGGGGTTTTTACAATGATAATATCACTCAACATACTGAATGTGAATCAAGTAATATATTTAGTATCAAAACAGCATTAAATATATACCTCATAACCACTTCAATTTGATTTTTAGAAAATGAAGTTAATTAGCAACGTTTATAATTATCTGTCATTTTGTTTGGGTACCTCTATCACTTGACCTGGTGTTATACAGGGACGCCTGATTAACTCATAAGCAGTAATGTCGGGTTACTAGTCATAAACATGCATCTACTTCATACTAAAAACAAATAATAAAGATATCAAAATGAGGCCGAAAATGTACCCAACCTTTACGCATACCAAAAAAGCCAGTGGGCCAGTTGTCTCAAGTATTTCTACTTGAGAGCGTTTTAAAATTTATGTTGTCTACATTGTATTTTTTATTACTTCGGTTTGGCACAAACGTTGTTCAAAAAACTTTGGAACACGACAGTCATGTACATGAAAGAGATATACCTAAACATTAAAACTACTTCCCTGTCTATACATATACTGGAAGTTTTTAGTGATCTGTAAGTATTTGTGGCTGGGTATTTCCAGTAGATTATATAGCAATGTATACACGTAAATCTGTAGATATTACAAGTCGATAATGTTTACAGTATGGCGCCGGCTTATATACACCGATATTGATTGTTGACATGCTGTTAGGATTTCTTCTTGGTAAACATTATGTAGCGCCGGGAGATGTATTATACTTTGACCCCAATAGACATTGACACGAGTTTAGTAGAATTCCATATAAGCGTGATTGTATTTATTGTATTTTACGCTTAATTGTTTTTACGGTACGATACCAAGCTTTTATTAAAGCTTTATTTCATCATCAATATAGTGTACTGTGTATTATTGATACAAGGAATCGAAAACAAGCACAGCGAATATTTAGTCCGTCTCCTCGTATTTTTAAAAGGGCGATAGAAAGGCATCGACTGTTGGTATATGCACATAAAATACATTGTGATAAAAAAAGGAAGAAGAGAAACTGCATTATAAGAAGGAAAACTGGATGGAATAAATATATTTAGGCACTTTACAACACATGAATAATGGTATTCCTAAAGTGACCGTTATAAATATAATATATAAAGAGGCAAACAAATCAGCACTATACAGTAGGTAACAGGACATTTACCTTTGTATGCATATATACAGTATATATATAAATAATTGACAAGAGTTTCTTTGTACCTCTTTAGTACCTTCACTTCTTTAGAGGTTCGTCAGAGTAAAAGTATATACATATCATGTTGTGTACATGACATGTGCGGAAGAGAACTTAAAATTCTTGAATTTGGTTAGAGTTTTTGTTCTGACTTCCTGGTAGTAGATTGTAAGCTTTCCACAACGTCATCGAAACCCGTCCAAATCATGGGTTTCCATGTTTGGCCGACTCTACATGTTCTTATGCAGTAAATGTTCACATTAAAACCATGATTCTACTCCAAAGAGATCACTGTGGCTATCAAGGTGATGGCGACCAAGGCGGACCGAACAATCCAGTAGCGTAGTCCACCGTTTCACACCTCGTAAGATGAACGTAACACACACAGGAGATATCACCTTTGTTAATTGATACAGTATGCCAAAAAATGAAAAACACTGCAACTTAAAGATGCTTCGTTCCTTAAGGACGTATAGGTGATGCTGGGGGTTAAATAGATGGAATTGTTGTTAGTAACTGTTGAATGAAAAGGACAGGAGCATAAAAAAGCCTCGTTCTTTTAATTTCAAAACTAAGAGTTGACTGCTAAGTATGAAACTGATGAACCATGCTACTACTCAAAACAGATTACTGTTTAGTATCAAACTGATTAATCATGCTACTACTCAAAACAGATTACTGATTAGTATCAAACTGACGAACCATGCTACTACTCAAAACAGATTACTGTTTAGTATCAAACTGATGAACCATGCTACTACTCAAAACAGATTAATGTTTAGTATCAAACTGAT